TATAGGTATTCTGTAGGTACTCTAGATGGCACAAGTAAGGTATACTAAGGTATTCAACAGGGTATTCCTGGAAAGCCACGGAACGGTGGATAACTGAGGGGGGGTAGCATCTATGTATTCGTTTGTTTGTACACCCTAAATCTCACTACAAATAGCCCGAAACAAGAACACCTTCCACGTCCGATAGGGTGCTTCTTCACATCACCAGTCCAATCTCGTGCGGAATGAAAGCACCCGTAACCTTTTGCTCTGATCCGCCAAGTAGATCAAAAAAGCTCCATAGAGAAAGCTGCTAGATCCTCTACTAACAAAACCGGAAAGAACCGCGTCTAGCCGCATCTAGCCGCAGAGCAGTTTATCACCGTACCAAATCCAAGGAACAATCCAGCTGAATCACTCCTTGGAGGGGATGGTAGCAGGCAGATTAAAGTGATCGGGGGATAAAAGTACATCATATCATACATCAAAACCCTATTGACGGCCTTCCAGGGTGACCCGCAATATCCAAATTCTAAGCACAAAAGCGCTACTTACGGTTCTGGATTTAGGTTCGGATGTCCTGAGAAAAGGGCCTGTAGTCGTTAGAATACGGGTCGGGAGCATATTACTTGTAAACAGTTGGACCTTTGTAGTCTGTGGGGTCCAGGGCTTAGGGCTTGAACCCTGAACCGTACGCCCTTCTTTCCGGGGCTCCGGCAAGGCATGAAGCAGCTGAGCAAACTTTGGCTGCAGCGGCGGAAAAGTGAGCCTTTTGTCAAACGTTTTAGTTTCCTTTCTGTGGGGCTTCAGAATATGAGGGGAACCTTGTATCAACCTTAAGCAGTAGTGTCTTCCAGACTGAGACGAAAGCCTACTGTACAAGAAGTAATCCCAGTTAGCCCTAAACGCCATGTGGATGAGGAGGGTTCGCCAGGAAGTTGTGAACAATCGCATGCCCTCTGTAATATTTGCGCTTAAGCCCGTCAGCGGTGCCAACAGTGGCGGCTTTCTTTGGTGGCCTGGAATGCCTGCGCCGCAAGTCGGCGCTGTCAAAAGGCCAAAATCATCCGCGAGGCTTGGGCTCGCCGAGCCTGGTGAACTTGTAGGATCCGCGCATTTGTCCATGAGAACATGGACTTGGTGCTTTGAGGCTTTCAAAGGCCTCCAGAGCTGCTTTGTCAAGTCTCCAGCACCATTGAAGCGAAAGGCTTGGCAAAATTTTAGCCTTGAAAACCCTAAACTAAACTGATGACCCCGCGCAGACCCTTTTTTTGTCCCATGAAAGGCCTAAGCCGCAAAGAGTTCAGGACTGATCTTTGCATGCGTTTAGACTTCCAGATTGAAATGTGATGAGCGAATTGAACGGTCACACGGGTACGGGTGGAAGGGGTTGTTGTCTGTGATTCAGGGGTTTACACGGCTTCTGGACGAGATTGGAAGTGAAGCCGACGGTGAAGGAGTAGCCGAGCGTGCTGTTAAATGGAAGTTCTCGTCGATCCACGTGCTGTCCCGTGCTCCAGTCGTGGCTAGGGCAGCGGAGGTCTGTTGAACCTCACTGTCCGACTCATTCCATGCAGTGTAGTCCTCGACGGCCGGGTGACCGCACGAACCCCAGGATTGTCACGAGTCCTCGTGAAAACTCATTCACATAGCCGAAATGAGTTCCGAAGGAACGAGCCTAATCCACCTAAGCCCGCCCAGCTGCTCAAGTCACGCATCTCGCTAACATGCGCCATCAGTCAATCAATCAAGGAAGACCAGCTTGATGCACTTTTGTGTTAAGACATCGAGATCTCTCGATATTGCTTTTGTCCCACCCGACCCGTCCGAAGTGGTGAGAGAGGGGGGGATGAATGTCCTGGGTCCAGGGCCCATACGGGTCGGCTCCAACCCTGCCTGACCCAAGGCGAACCGACAGGCCCCATCCTCACCGATGCGAGAAAACAAAGAAGTGAGCAGAGTAGCGGAGCCCGTGTAGGTGCACGTGCTGCCGGACAGTCTCTGAAGTCTCGAGTTGTGTGACGTGTTTGAGTCATTGCCGCGTGCTTGAAGATGCGTGCTTTGGGTTGAGTAACAATAGATCAGGCCACGACGCTCAAGTGAAAACATGGTTCGGGATTTTCTAGCACGTACAGAAGCCCCTTCAAAAACCGAATAAAGCCCAACAAATTCGATGATGCATTAAATCCTTGACAAGCTACTATAGAGTCTTCTAACCCCTTGAAAGCCCTACAAATCTCGATGCGGCCCTCGGTGGTTCTCCATAACATAGAACCCGAAAGGAGCCGAAAAAGAAACCTACAACAACCCTATAAGAACCTTATAAGATGAAAGAGTCTTATGAGAACTTTAGAGTCTTGGAAAGCCTCGAAAAGACCTGGCACACAAAAAGTATAGATCCCCTGAAAGCTCTGTAACGCTCCAATAAAGCAGGTAAATAAAACCTCGTGAAACCTGATACAATCCGTATGACAGACATCCCTAAACCCTACCAAACCTTTAACAGAGACAGTCCTAAACACTAAGCCCTGAACTTCAAGCCCTAACCCTGAACCCCAAACCGTAAACCCCACAAACCCGCATAAAGAGATAGCCATAAACCCTGAAACCTAAACCCCTAACCTTAGACACCAAACCCTGAGCCCGAAAGCAGAACCATCGAAGTTCGAGGCAGTCCTGGGCCCCGCACAAAAAGCGGCTACTCTCGGAGCTCCCATCGGTGCCTTCGCTTTCGGATTTTAGGGTGCAAGAACGGTTACTACAAGGGCTACTACAGGGGTTTTAAGACTTTTGCCTCAGGGTAAGGGCTGAAGGCTTCAGGGTCTTGCTGAGGCGAGTTGGAGGGGACATCTGAAAGTTCGGTGTGGATGCCATGGGCTTTGTTTTGCTTTGTCAGGGTTGTGAAACGGTTTCTGAGAGCTGGCGGTATCCTGAGGTGGGGGTATCCTGCTTAAGGCATCTTTTCTCTGAAACTGGAAAGCCTGCTTGGTCCAAACTTGAAAGCTGGACGCCGATGATGTTGGTGAGTCGAGCTCCCGTTCTCAAGGATGCTGGCGACTTTCGCCGTTGCTGCTAATGAAGCTGGCGAGGATGAGGTGTTGATTACCGTCTTGCTGTGATGATGGTTGCCATGACGATGACGGCGATTTCGGCGATGGTGACAAGCATGAAGTTGGTCACGAAGACGATGAAAAGGAACATAATGACGAATATCAAAACAGTAGTAACACCAGCAATACTTGCATTCACATGTCCGATAGCTATGAGATCACGCGAAGGCAAAAGATTAGCAGCACAAAGCTAACTGGTGCCCCGCTATTTCTGCCCCTACTCCTACTCCTACTTCTACTCATAATCCTGCTACTGCTGCTGCTGCTGCTGCTGCTGCTGCTGCTGCTGCTACTACTACTACTACTACACTACCACCACCACTACGACGACTACTACTACTACTACTACTACTACTACTACCTACTGCTACTACCGCTACTACCGCTACTACCACTACCACTACCACTACCACTACCACGACGACGACGACGACGACTAATACT